TGCATCACTATAATGCAAAAGGAATGCACTATGCAAAGAAAGCTACAGAACTGGTGGGAAAAACTCCTGCACGCGGGTTCTTAATTGCAACAGAACACTCCACCGTGCAAAAGAGCTGCAATTTGGCGGGAACATGATTTAGCGATGCCGAAGCACACACAAACAAGAACAAACACAACTTTGGGTTGTGACAGAAGTAGTTTGCAAATGTGCTCCCACTTCCCTGGATGCGTGGATGCCTGCCCAGAAGCATTTACTTGCAAGTAGTTTACTCATGACTAAACTGCTCCCAGATCTAATGCATGTGTAGACACACCCCTTAAGTATTAACCTGGCCACATGTTCATAAAATTAATAATGTGATAAAACAGGAAATAAACCACAAAATGATTATACAAAATTTGTAATAATTTTATGGCTGGTGCCCATTGCACCTTAAGTTGAATATAGAGTCAGTGTGCTCCCAAGGTTTGAAAGGATCCAGTTTACTCCCAAGCTTTGGGAGTGCTAGTTCATTGATCAGCACTTCCAGCCCTCAGAGCACACTGGAGGCTTGAAGGAATGTGTTCCCATGGCTTGTGCGCCAGTCCACTGATCTTTCCTCCCATGGCTGAGAGTGACAGGCAGCTGATCAGTGCTCCCACCCTCAGAAGTGCACTGAAGCCCCAAAGGACTCGATACTTCCTGGTGCAGGGGAACCTGGGATCATGATCCTGAGCTCCCCCTGCACCAGCAATAGGATGCAATTTGGATCTGATCCCCAATCCCACAACTGCACCTCCTGTCATGCACATGTAGCATGACAGAAGGTATGACTGTTAGGACTAGAGATCAGACCTCATTACACTTTTGAACAAACATCTATCAACAGCCTTAAGTGTAGTTTTGGTGTAGTTCCAACTTAAATTGAGCTGCAACAGCCATAAAGGGCCAAAGATGCACCCAAACATTGGCAGGTTACAGGGACATGCTAAATTTGTTTCCTTTTCCCTGCAGAGCCAACAGTAAGGGAAGTAGAGTCCTTATGTTTCAGCTCTACACAGATGAGCTGTTGCCCTTCAGGTTATGTAAATGTTGTTGCATATTAGGAAAATATGCTATCAGTATGGTTGAGAAATGAGAGTAACAACACATAAAGACTCAAACAATTTCATGCTCTCAATAAAGAAACAAAAAATAAATGATGCCTGATGGCAAAGCTTGGGGAACTTAAGGAATCACCAAAAAATCCTTGGACAAGCCAACTGCACAAACTCTTTATAAAGGTAGCTGCTGATGGGAGATTTAGAGGAAAGTGTATAAGGAGTTCAGCTATAGGCCTATGCATTTCTCTATACACCTGGTGAATCTGACAATGGCAAACATTTATCCCTTATTACCCTCAGCTAGGCAGATCATTTATGTTGTAAAATGAAATCATTTGCCTAAAGGGTTGTAAAGATCCTTTTGTAGTATTAACGTGCCTCACATTTTAAAACTAAATTATCCCATAACATTGAGAAATACAAAAATATATATATATATATTATACAATTAAGTTGTTACCCTACTTTGTTACATTTTCTCTGCTGATAGCACATTTCCAGATTGCTCCTGTCACTGCTGCTAACAGTTCTTTATTTTCAGAATTACTAAGCAGAGTAGCCAGTGGTTGTAGGCCTCCATGCTGCCTTACTAGGTCACGTGTTTCTTCATCTTCTGCACACTATACAACAAATTAAATATATAGAAGGTTTAAAATGTAAAAGGTTTCCCAGGAAATCTGGTGTATTCCCAAAATAAGCAACATTAACAGAATAAGAACTTTATGTAAATATTTTGATTATTGATATATATACTTTAAACTTTGATTCATATTACAAATTAAAAGAGGGTTTCAGGGTAAATGATTATGTAGCAAGAGTGCATACTTTGCATACATCTTCAGAAAATATAGGCCTGTTCCCTTGTAAAATGAAAAACCTGTTCATTAAATGCATATTTAAACGCATCGGCATTTACTGTTCATTTACTGTGTACACAACATTCAGTTGTGTATACAGTAAACACAATACACACATACAACATTCAGTAGGCAATTCAAGTATAATATGATCTTGCCTTGAGCAGCAGGTGGACTTAAATGACCTTATGAGGTCCCTTCCAGCCCTAGTTTCCTATGATATTATAATAATCATGCAAGCACAATAGACAAAAACTCATAGAAAATTTAAGCAATGAAATCATGAATGCTTTTTCAAGTACCACTGAAAGATCTGATTATTTAAATTATGCAGATACCTTAAAGATAGCACTAGCACAGTGCATCTGAAGCTCCTGATTTTCACTACTCAGGTTCTTCACAAGGTTCTCAATCATCCTCTCTGTCTTTATTGCAAGTCTGTAGCTTGGCTGTCAAAGCAAGTTAAAAATTCTGGTTTATATAGCAATTAATATTGTCCTCCTAAAAACTAGAGCACTATTAATTTTGGCTCTGACCTGGCAAAAACCTGAACATCAGCTTAACTTTAAGAATACGATTAGTTCCAATGCCCTGAATGATGCTAGCAATGAGCTCAAAGTCAATCACAGGATCACAGGCCATACCTGCTCTTATATAGCAGCTCCCAGCCAGGAAGTGGGAGACCCAAGTTCAATTCCTTCTTCAGACTGACAGCATGCAAATGCATATCGCCATTCCCAAGGGATAACCCTACCAGGCTTTTTGGAGGTGGGGGCTTTCTCTATCCCTTTTGTTATTGTGAAAAAAAATTATTCAAGAGTCACTGAGCTAAAAGGAAAGCATAAACAGGGGCCTGATTCTCTAGCCTAATGCATACAACACTAAGCTGCTAGCAAAAAAAGCTTGGATTCTAGTCTCTGATCCTAGGGATATTTCTGTATTTCCCCAATGTCTGTTTTAAGGGAAGATGTATCATGTATGTACAGAGCCTAATTCTATTAGTGTGCATTAGGAGCTTGGCTGTGTGGCTGCCAAACAGATCAGACTGGGAGCTAGTGGGGAAAGAGGAATGAATGACATATTGAACAAAGTCCCAGAAAGGGGGGCAGGAAATCACTGGACATGAAGGATTGGATTGAGTGTTCAGAGAGTAGAAACTGTTAGGTGAGTGAAGATAAGGGCTTGACCACAGAACTTGGCAGGAGAGACTAGGAGAAGGGAGAAAAGAGGAATGGGCCAGGACAGAAATAAGATGGAACATGGCAGGTTGGCATGGATGAAACAAAAAGCCATTAATTATATTTAGCTATTCATTAAACTCTGGTCAATAATTTGTGGATGATAGGCCAACAGGGTTAGGAGTTTAGCTCAAAGAAGCTTTAAGAGCTCACTCCACAAACAAGACACAAATAGTGACCCCTAGCGCTTGGAAGACATGTTCCAGAAACAAACTGGCTATTTTTCAGCCAGGGGGAAGTGATCAAAACAGAATCAAAGGAGCCATTCTGGTCAATAGGTCAACTTGTGACTAATATTTCTGAGCACCAATGAGATTATATCTATGATTAAATTTAGGGACAGGATGGACCAAAGTTACTATGGGGTACACATCTGGCAGATGTCCCTCATAGTCAAGGCTTTGTGGCTGTTCTTGGCTTCCTTGGATAAATTGTATCTGTTACTGTCAGTGAGACCTGGGGCAAGGCCATACTCAAGAGATTACTGTGAATCATTACAACAGACCAAAGCATTTGGATACTAGGGTGATGGGCACCAAAAGAAAACAGCTTGAGGAAATAAATAATTCAGTATTCAGAGCACAGTTTAAAGAGTATGAAGTAGATGCAAGATCAACACCCCTTTTGAAGGGAAGGGGAAAGCCTTTCCTCTGGACTCCTTAAAAAGCAGCCTTATTTGGTCTCCTTCTCCTGAGAGGACCCCCAGAAGCAAGCCCTGGCATGGCTTCACAAAAGGCAAGCCCTTGGCTTTGAGACTTCGGCTCCTCTCAATCCCTAGCTTCCCTTGTGGTCCACAGCACCCACAACTGAGAATTCGTGCTTGCTGGTCAGCTCCCCGGAAGGAGAGGGTGTTTTCTTTACATGGAACAGGTGAGAGTGCTGATATCCCAAACAGCAAACCTTGCTCCAAAACTAACAGTTTTTATTGTGCCACCCCAGTTCCCTCTGTCCTTCCTTGGACTTCACTCTGTCCTCCCTGGAACTAATCCTTTCTCTCTGCCCTTCTTGGGACCTTCTCCACCTCCAGGTCTCTCAATGTTTTGCTCAGTCTCCTTAAGCCAGGTCTGCCCGACTTGCAGTTATTCTCCTCAGGCCAAGTCCACCACAAAACAATTACAAAACTATAGTATTCACCTGGGCACAACACTCACCCAATACAATTAAACATTATGTCATGGGGAACCAATCAGAGAGCAGTCTCTGTGACCCGCTGTCAGGCTCAGACTACCTCTGCCCTGTGGTGAAAAGGGCACAAAGGTGTCCTGCTTGTAGAACTATTTCCAGCAATTATTTACAGCAATGCATACTAACACTGACCCTCCCACCAGGTATTGCCCACGAGAACTACAGGCAAGAACTCAGTCATCCAATCTTTTTCATCACACCATATAACTAAAGACTCTATTATAATATATTCAGACAGGCAAATCTCACTGGCATTTTTTAAATGTTGAGTGCTTGGCTTTGCAATCTTAATAATACTTTTTCACTCAGCTTGCTTATATATATTTAATAGTACTCTTCCAGGAATTCTGTGTTCATATCATTGACATTCTCTATGCAGAGCTATCTCTATGGAGCTAAACTTCTTTTTTAATTTACTATAATGCTCCACTTTAAAATGATGTTAATGGTTTTAAAACTGACAAAAGTTGGGAATTTAAAAGTTAGGAAGTATAGCTTGAGTTAACAGGATACCACCATCTTCATGTAGAATTTCCTGTCTTTTCTCAATTTAAATCATATATTTATTCTCCTTCAGTGTTGAATCAAATTAAATTCTTAGTTTCAATGCTGAAGTCCTGTGAAGTACACCAAGTGATGATGCACTAATGTATCAGAGAATCTGTCCCAGGAATCAGTCTTTATATGCATTTTTTCTCTGTTTTCCTAAATGTTAACAGAAAAGTTATTTCTAAAGTTACAAAGTATGTGTTCCTAAATATAGCAAACTTCAAACTATAGCTGGTTTTACTGATAATGTTTTATTTAGACATTTTTAAATCCACACCAAAACAGCTCAAAGTTTGGCAGTTTTTAAAACTTGGATATATACTCTGGTTGTAAAATTTGTAATGGAAATTTGGAGAGAAATCATACACATGTCTTTTCACTTGCTGATACTGATCAGACACTGCTTTCTACAAAGCACATTTATAAAGTAAACTGTTCTGACTTGTGTTATGTGGGGAATCAGACTTCTGTCCATATTTTTAATTCTCACATTCTCCTCTCCAATATCTTTGTCTTCAAATCAACTTTTTCCCAGTACACTTTACCAGTATAAGGCTCTGCTAAATTCACAATTTTTTTTGCAAATTTCTTGCAACAAAACCAGTGATTTTTATGAAATGTAATAAAAGAATTGACAGAAAGTGAAATTATATTAGTTTTATACAGTTTTCTTCTCACAAACCACTTAGGGTTCTCAGTTTAAAAAGTATATTAAGACAGAGTCTTATATGCTCATGAACCATAGTCTTCATCAAAAAACCTTCTATAAAGTGCCACCCACAATATTCACTCTTCAGTGGCCAATGAAGCTCTTATGGCAGGAACCAAATTTCCTGGTGGAAATACAAGTGTCCAGGTACATTCTTCCAAAAAACAGCTAGCTATGATGAGGGATTTTAAAATTATAGTCAGAAATTATATTTAGGAATCAACTGTGTACATGGTTAGAGGTAGCTTGTTAACCTAACTGCTTACCTCTGATGCACACTCTTGTAATGTCCCCACCACTGGTGTTAACATGCTTACATGTGGAGACTTCAGCAGCTGAGCTAATAATGGAATACCTCCAGCCTTACGGATTGCTTCTTTATTTTTGGTGCTTTTGCTGCAGCTCCAAAGTGCCAAAGCCCCACAGCGGGCTATTTCAATATCTTTTGCCTGAGATGGTGTTGGATTAGCTAATCCCATTGACACACAGTCCAGCAGCCCAACCTGATGAAAAACAAAATTTTCTTAGTGTATTTAATAGAAATGACAAATAACATAATTATACGGAATGCTAATTATGAGAGCAAGCACCACATCAGAAAAAAATGACTTATTTAGTAGAAAGAAATAAAAAGAATACTGATTACCAGTCTTGTGATTCCTCCATGCTGTCTTACTGTCCTTCGTGCTCGTTTAAACTTGGCAACGTTGGCAATTGTTTCAGCTGCCAAGCATTTCAGATCCTTATCTGGAGAGTCCAGAATCTTCACCATAATTTGTAAGCCCCCAAGATCAGCAATTGTACGTCTGATCTGTGAGTTCTGACTAATTTCCTTCAGGATTTTCAATGAACCAATCTAAAGAGAGGAAAATATCAAATGTTGCATACTATCTGAGAATGTATAAATGGTAGTTCACAATCTTTTAACACACTGGGTTGTATAAATGTCCTCAGGGGCAGGGCGGCACAGCCTGCAGTGCTGGGGGAGCTCACACCACAGTGCAGCAGGGAAGTCTGTGGCCAGTGAGCTAGTGGGGAGAGGAGTTGCCCACACACACGTGTGCGGTGCAGCAGTGGGGTGGGTTGTGGGGGACTATCCAAGTATGTGGTGGACTGGGGAGGGCATCTGTAAGGAAGTGGCCCAGGGGGTCTTTGGCATACACTACTGCTGCCTCCACAGTATACCCTGCCTTAAACAATAGGGGGTCCTTGAGGGCAGAGGAACTCAGCGTCCAAGAGGAGTAGTCGTTCCTTAAGGAAACGATACTCGGGGCCCAAGGGGTGTCCATCCCGACAAGAAGCAAGGGGGGGAGGAGTGTCCAAAAGCCCCCCTGGCTCACCAAGGGTGTCCGGGAATGCCTGCTTGCCAAAAAGGCGGCGTACGCCCGGTGGAAGGGGGGTGTAATCTCCAAAGAGGAGTATACCTCCTCTGCTCGGGCCTGCAGGCGGGCTGTTAGGAAGGCCAAGGCGGATATAGAGCTCGGATTAGCGTCCAGGATTAAGGATAACAAAAAGTCCTTTTTCAAATATATTGGGAGGATGAAGAAGGCACCAGGTAATGTGGGGCCCCTGCAGGATATGCTGGGCAATCTGGTGGTTGCGTCAGAGGATAAAGCGGACCTCTTTAACCAATTCTTCACCTCCGTTTTCTTGTGCAGGGACCGGGACTTCCCTGCTGTGATAGAAGCCGGACGCGAGGGGATCGCCTTCAGACCTCAGGTTGGAGAGGACCGGGTTAGAGAGCTTCTGGAGGCGCTGGACGCGTTCAAGTCAGCGGGTCCGGATGCTCTCCACCCCAGGGTGCTGAGGGAGCTAGCTGGGGTTATTGCAGGGCCCCTAGCACGGCTCTACGAGCGATCGTGGTGCTTGGGCCAGGTGCCAGACGATTGGAAGGTAGCTAATGTGGTCCCCATCTTCAAGAAAGGGAAAAGGGAGGACCCGGGCAACTATAGGCCCGTCAGTCTTACCTCAATCCTGGGGAAACTCTTTGAGAAGATCATCAAGGAGCACATTTGTGATGGGCCGGCATCAGAAATGATGCTCAGGGGCAATCAGCATGGATTTATTAGGGGGAGATCATGTCAGACCAACCTGATTGCCTTTTATGATCAGGTCACAAAGGCCATGGACGCAGGTGTCGCGGTGGATGTAGTCTTTCTGGACTTCAGCAAGGCCTTTGACACCGTCTCTCACCCCATCCTAATTAGTAAACTAGGCGACTGTGGCATAGATGCCTACACAGTCAGATGGATTGCAGATTGGCTGAAGGGTCGCACTCAGAGGGTGGTGGTGGATGGATCATACTCGACTTGGGGGGAGGTGGGTAGTGGAGTCCCCCAGGGCTCGGTCCTGGGGCCTGCGCTGTTCAATTTCTTCATCAGCGATCTTGATGTTGGGGTGGAAAGCAACCTGTTTAAATTCGCTGATGACACCAAAATTTGGGGGGAGGTGAGCACGCTAGCAGGGAGAGAGAGATTGCAGAAGGATCTGGATAGGTTACAGGGGTGGGCAAACAGGAACAGGATGTGTTTCAATACGGACAAGTGCAGGGTGCTGCACTTGGGTAGTAGGAACCAGCAGCACACTTATACGATGGGGAACTCCCTACTTGAGAGCACGGAGGCGGAAAGGGATCTTGGTGTCATTATTGACTCCAAGATGAACATGGGCCGACAATGCGAGGTCATGGTTGGCAGGGCTAACCGGACCTTGTCGTGCATCCACAGGTGCATCTCGAGTAGAGCCAGGGAGGTGATCCTCCCCCTCTATGAGATGCTGGTCAGGCCGCAGCTGGAGTATTGTGTCCAGTTCTGTGCGCCCCATTTCAGGAGGGATGTGGACAACATGGAGAGGGTCCAGAGGAGGGCCACCCGCATGATCCGGGGACAACAGGGCAGACCCTACAGTGAGAGACTGCGGGACCTGAACCTATTCAGCCTCCACAAGAGAAGGCTGAGGGGGGACCTGGTGACCGTCTATAAACTCACTAGGGGGAACCAGAAGGGTTTGGGGGAGATGCTGTTTCCCCTAGCCCCCGCTGGTATAACAAGGAGTAATGGGTACAAGTTGATGGAGAGGAGGTACAGATTGGACATCCGAAAAAACTACTTCACAGTTAGGGCGGCTAGGAGCTGGAACCAACTTCCAAGGGAGGTGGTGCTGGCCCCTACCCTGGGGATCTTTAAGAAGAGGCTGGATGCCTACCTGGCTGGACTCATTTGAGTCCCGTTTTTTGTTTAGGGTTCTTTTGTTGTTCTCCCGCCCTGGCGGGGGGTCAGGCTAGAAGATCTATTAGGTCCCTTCCGACCCTAAAACTATGAAACTATGAAACTATGAATACTTTTGTACTGCATATTCCTTTGCAAAAGAAAGCATTCAAATACTAGAAAGCATGTACCCAGCTCAATGTATTTCAACAGCTACTTACCTTACATTTAACATCTTCTGTATCAAGTAAATTTATTAAGACTTCAAGACCTCCAACATCTCTGATGGCCAGTTGACAGGTTTCTTGAGCCAAGTTGAAATCTCTCATTGAACACAAGGCAATTACTGTAGCTGTCTGATTGCCTCCCTAAAATAATACAATGATTAATATATGTTAAATATGCATAACATGATCTCATTGCTACAGGAACTTACTAACAAAGATGGGCTCTGATAGACCCATACTTTTATCAATGATGTGTTAGAAAACAAAATCATTGTTGATTAAATTTAAAGTTTAACTCCAAAACTGGAGAAACAGTAAATAACAAAAAGGAAGGTCACTGATATGGAATGAACCTAGATCACATGGCAAGCTGAGCACCATCAAAGAAAATTTGTTTCAGCTTGACTGAAGGGCTGTTATACATATATATGACCAAAATATGTAGGCCATTGTGACAAGATGGCGCAGTCTATCCTGGGAAGCAGCAACTGTGCAAAGACCTCCATACGCAGATCCAGGATTCTTAAAAGGGGATTGTGGGAGCTGTAATCAGCGCTTCAGGGGTCTGGCTACATTCCCCACTACTAGCCTCTCTCCGCACCAGGGCAGGCAGTAACACCATGGGAGCAGCAGCCCCATGTGGGCTTTTTTGAAGTCTCCTACTCAGGTAAGAAACTCCCTCTCCCCCGAGCTCTCAGCACCCACTCTTCCCTTCCCCTTCATGCTCAGTGGCACCTCCTCACTCCTCCCAGTCCCCCCCTTGCCCTCTCTACTTACATTTCTATGCAGGGAGTCCCACCTGTTTCTGCTGGTCCAAGCCACTCCTGCCCCAGTCCTGCTAGGATTGCAGGGAGCAGCTGCATTAGGAGCCAGGATGAGCTGGGGACAGTGGTAATGGTGGGTGGGTTCCCCTGCCCTGAGCCTGCTCCCGGGCTGGCAGGGAACACCCAGGGGATGTTACCAGGGGTAAGAAGGAAGAACCCACCTGCCACTATCACTGTCCTGGCTAAATCTGGCCAACCACACAGCCCAGCTAGAGCCCTGCCCCTGCCTGTCTGGGGCAGCCAGGGACAGTGGGGACACCGGCAGTGGTAGGCAGGGGTGGGGGAAAATGGGAAGGGAAGTGCCACTGAGCATGGGGGAAGGAAGGAGGTGCAAAGAGAGGTGGTTTCTTACCTGCTTCAGGGACTTTAAAGTCTCCAGCAGCTGGTCCTGCAACATAGTCTGAAAAAGGGGTACAGCAATGCCACTGAACACCCCTGGATCTGCCCTTGAAAATGAGGGAGCCATGGTGCACAATTAACTGATGATTATTGTAAACCTACAGAGGATACTGCTTTTTGAGGGCTTGTAAAGGCTAACCGCTGTACTTTTAGAAAATATGTAACCTTTATAGAACAGCTCAAACTATTAAATATATTATAAACTTGCTTTGTTTTAGAAAGCCTTGCAACATGTGTTTACAGAGAAAACATGTAATTCAATTTTAATGCATCTTTCCCACTCCAACTTATGTCCTTTCCATTAAGGAACACTGTTTTAAAACTGTATGCACATTTTGATCCTTCATGCAATAATTCAGTCTTTACCTATCTATTACAAGTGTAATGATCAAGGATCCTGGTTTTCTCTGTTTCAAAACCGCAAACTCTCTGATTGTAATTTATTTTTAAACTGCAACCCACAAAAACCCCTTAAAGTCTCTGATTAAAATCCCCCAAATCCGTGTTTTTCCATGATTAAAACGAAACGCCACTCTATATATAGGTATCAGTTGAACACACAGTTTTATTGATATATTTATAATTTTACACCATTTTGGAAGCTTTCCAGTGCCTGTCAGTATAATAAAATAAATTCTAAATACCTATATATTTTGGCATTTGATTTTGGGTTTTTTATTATGGAAAATCAGAGCTCTCCCTGCCCCCTTTGCTCACCAGGATGCAGTTCCAACTGCTTTGTGGCTCTGAGCAGCCCTGATATGCCAGTGCCCTGCCCATGCCATTGACCTTCACTCCCCACCCACAGCCCCCTGGGCCGTGCCAGTGCCTTCACTCCCCACCCTCCAGCCCTGCTGTAGGAGGCCCCCAGCTGCCAGGGCTATGGGCCAGGGACCTGGATCCACAGCCCCCTGTCCCCCACAGCAGTGCCCGAGCCCCGGCTACTGCCCACAGGAGTTGGTGGCTGCTGCAGCAGAGCGAAGCACAGAGCCTGGCTCCCCCTCCTCCACGGGCAGCACAGCCACCTGCCTGTGGAGGGGCAGGTGTGGGCTGCCCATTGTAGGCCTGGGCTGCCCACTCTGCTGCCCATCCCTACCTCCACTGCTGCTGGGCAGGCCGGGGCACCTTGTCATGCCAGCATGGGTCTTACAGTGGCAGCACCGAGCTTCCCCACCCAGCTCTGCTCTGTCCTGCCACACCAGATCCTGCCCGCTGAGCCACAGAGGCCCCAAGGGGAGGGCGGTTGGGCAGGGAGCTCCAAGCCCACAGTGGGCAGCACACTCACATACACACATCTGGGAAGCACATACCCACCATGTCCCATCCAGGGTGTGGGCAACAGTGGACAGCCAGCCCCTTCCACCCCGCAGATGAGCAGCCCATGGCCCTGTCCCACTCCTCGCCTGGGCCCTGTGGTTGTGCATTCCAGCCCTGGCCCCCTAACCCCACGCATTGCCCCAGCTGGGCAGCAGCCCCAGCACCAGTCCTGCCCAACTCCCTCCCTCCCTCCCTCCCTCGCTATGAGGACCTCAATTTCCACCACCACCTTGCCAAACTTATCTGTGGGGCACTGTTCTCCAGGTTGCCTGGTGGCCATGTGCATGTGTTCATGTGCACATGTGCATGGCACCCTCTGCTGATCACCCTCCTCTCTTCTCCCCGCAGCTCCTTGCAGGCTGGAACTCTGCCAGCCTGCAAGGGGAAACCCACCATTTCCCACATTTTTCTCCTTTAAAGGAGAACATCTGGGTTTTTCTCCTTAAAATGAGAAAGTCCGGGTTTTACCACGTTTTTCCATGCCAAATGGAAAACCTAGATCCCTGGTAATGATTCACATGTGATATTCAAAATGTTCTAAATATTTTTTTAAAAACAAATAACTTATTCTCCTATATTAAATAAAAATAGAACAGTATATGAAAAATATAAATGCATTTTGTTTTTTCCTCTCCTAAATTGCTTACAAAGCTTAATATATGTTTTAAAAGCAAAACCACAATAAAATATTTTTCATATGCTCCGAAATATCAGTTCTTTAGCACTGTCATACTACTGGTGGCCACAACAATTATTTCTCTTTCTTGTAGTTATCATCACATCAAGTCTTAAAGTATATATTTTAACAAGCATGGAAATAGTTAGCTCTCCATCAAATTGATACTAAATCTGCATGATGTTTGAAATCTGATCAGCTGAATGCAAAATAAACTCTATTGGCACTTCAACAATCAATTTTAAGACTTTAAATTAAACACAGATTTAGTTAAAATGGGTACCTCTTCTTATACAAATGAGGCAGTATAAATATCCACAATGAAATGAAAATAAACTATGAATATGAAAATGTACTAATCCTAATTGATAAAGAATTTTCTAAACCATGTCAGTATAGTAATAAGAATTTTTAAGTTCTTAATATGCGAGAACTACAAAACTTTAAAAATGGCTATATATATAAAATGGAATATATGTATACACAAACACACACACGCATATATATATAAAATTATTTAAAATGATATCTCCTACGCAGCTTGCCTTTTTTTGTTTTTACTCTTGAAAGGGTTTAACAGATCTCTTTTTAAAAGTTCTACAGTGTATAACATGCTCTTGTTAAAATTAAACTATATATGAAACCAGGTAATCTTTTCTTCCATAAGAAAAAATGGGAGGAAGTTAATGGAAGGACATCTCTTTGGGGTTTTCTTATAGAAGTACTTCTTAACTTTTATACTGGGTAAGATGGTGGGGCCTTTCCACAGACCACAGTGATTTCTCAGGACCAAAAGGTATCCACACAGAGGCCCCATTAATAACAATGCAGCTCTGCTGCTCCCCTACCAATCCTCCAGTCTTTGGAACTGTGACTCAATTTCAAGTCACAGCTGAGCTTCTGCAATTACTGGTGCCCCTGGTACCTTGTATCTCCATCTTAAAAGGGAAGCCCAGATGCAGAGTGAGGGCTACAGAAAAGTAATACAGACCACAACTGAATTACGTTTCTACTGTCAGCTTTAGATTCATGGAGTTTAAGAACAGAAGCAAACATTAGATTTTCCAGTCTGACTTTGTCATCCAGACATGGAGAGTTCCCCCAATACCCTTTGTAATGAATGCCAATGCTTAATCACCCTCAACTGTTAACACTTTGTGCCCAATTTCTATTTTGAATTTGTGTGGCTGATTTTGAATCCAGTTACTGGTTCTTTGCTAGATTAAAGAGCTATTTAGGATTTGGAGTCATCTCCCCATGAGAGTACTTCTTTCTTGCAATTAAGTCACCTCTCAATCTTCTTTTTGATAAATTAGACAGATTGATTTTCTAAATCAGTGGTCTCCAACCTTTTTAAGTAGGAGATCACCTTTGGCATTTAAAAGCAACCCAAGATCTACCATGCACTGCCACCCTGCACCCGCTTGGCCCAGCAGGTAAGTCTGTGGGAGGGAAGGGGGGGGGCAGATCGAGGCAGAAAAAAATATTTGGGGGTGTGCCTCCCCAGAAGGTAAGGCCCACCCGGCTGGGGCCCCACTCAACTTACCCCTGCTCCCACCTCTGCAGCCCTGTCCCTCATCATGGGGGCCTCATTCTAGCCCTCCCCCCTTCCCTCCCCCCACGGACTGACCTGCTAAGCTGGGGCACGTGCATGCATGCACATGGGCACTCAGCACACCGTCCCCCCCAGCTCCTGATCGACTGCAAGAGGCTCCGAGATCTACCACAAGAGACTCCAAGATCTACCAGTGGTTGGTGACCACTGTCCTAAATGTTTCATTGCAGGACATTTTTTTCCAGCCCATACATCAATTTTTCTCTCTGCACATTGTTCATTTTGTCAACTTCATTTAAGATGGAAAGACCAGGACTGGACTCAATATTCCATTATCAGTCTCACCAGTACCATACACAAAAGTAAAATT